TTTATATGTCATCTGTTAACTAAAATTAATAAAGGACTTTTTTAAAAATTCAAAGTTGCACATTTTCTTCCCTCCCTCCTCTATTCCACCCAGAAGTACTTTTTTTTTTGGGTGGGGGGCTCTGATGCCCTAGTGGCAGGAAGCTGTGCTGCAGTCAATCCCAGCAGCTGCTCCATGGGGGACGGATGGGCAGCCTCCTTCCGTGCTATTAACTGCCTCCGAAAACCCTCTGGAGGGTCAGCTATGGGTCTATTCCAACTCTAAGGCACACAACAACAGTAAAGACCATTTCCAGTACTGGATGGACGCCTACCCCTTCCCACTTGAGCCCTCCTGTGGCATGGGGCCCAGGATGTCAGTCCCCAGGGACCACTGCAGTCCAGACATGAAGTGTGAGCTGTTTATTACAATTTATTATGTCAAATGGGTGATGGCTTTGGGAGACAGCGGAGCACGCTCATTCCTTCTTGTCAGCTGCCTTCCTCATGGTGACAAGGACACTGCCGAATTCGTCTTGCTTCCTCTTGGGCAGATGTGGGTCCCATTCTTTTCTTTATGAATTTGAAGGCCCACTTGTCCTTGGAGACCCTGAACAGCTCCAGGGTACGATGCTTGTAGGGCGCGAAGCCACACACCTCCCGGGTCATGTCCTGCATGAAGTTGGTGTGCTCAGTGAGGCACCCGCCGATGCAGCTGTGCTTCAGTTGCTCACGTTCTTGGTTCCTTTGTGGCCCTTATTGAGGCCCACAGCCACGGGGTACCATGTAGCCATGGCTGCCACGACAGAAGCTGAAATACGTTTTCAAAAGACCTTGTTGCTGTTGAGTTGCATCGCTGCCTCACATGTTGGTGCAGAATAGACTGTGCTCTCAGAATTTTTCTTGGCTGTAATCTTTTACCAAAGCATATCACTAGGACTTTCTTCTGCTGTACCGGCAGATAAACCACTGCCTTTGGGTTAGCAGTACAGTGCAGACTGTTTGTGCCACCGAGGGACATATTGAGAAGCACTGCTGGCCTGTCATTGTTGTGTGCCATTGAGTGAGAATCAACCCAAAGCTGACCCTCCAGCGGGTTTTCAGAGCCAGTAAATCCCATAGGAGGAGATTGCCCGTCTTTCTCCCATGAAGCTCCTGGTGAATTCGAACCATGTGCCTTTGGGATTGCAGTGCAGGTTCTTACCACTAGATCACCAGGGCTCCCTACTGCTGGTAAGGACTTGTACTATCAATCCAAAGGCATTTGATTTGAATCCACCTGCTGATTTGCAGGAGAAAGATGAGAAGTCAACTCCCACTGCCTCTGAAAACCCTCTGAAGGGTCATCTGTGGTTTGGTCCCGACTCGACAGTATACAACAACAGGGACATATTGAGGTACACAGTGGTCCGCAGTAAATGTTCGTTGAATAAAGGAGTGAGCCCTGATGCACTCTGCCACCTTAGCACGGCATTTAGCCCTTTGAGTTTTGTGCCACAAGAGAAGATGACCTGAGAAAAGCTCGTCAGATAGATTTGGGAAACCTTTAAAGTCTGCAGGTTCCCCTGCTTTCTGAACACAGAGCATTCCTAAGCCGAAATGACACAAAGCAAAGAACAATGACCATTGACTTTATAGGGGGAAATGTTTGTGTTCTCAGACCCAAAATAGAACATTTGCAGTCATTCCAGACACATGCAGCCTCAAATAGTACTAGTCTTTGGTGGTTACAGACACAGCTCAGAGCTGTGGCCTGATTCAGAAATGTAGAATGTAGCTCCCAGCAAGGACGTTGGCAATGCTGCCCTCACTGCTTGGGGTTCATGCTGCCTCTTGTATGTTATTGTGTGCAGTCAAATTAGAACCAACTCATAGCTGACCCTCCAGTGGCTTTTCAGAGGCTGTAAATCACACAGGAGAAGATTACCTATCTTTCTCCCACAGAGCAGGTGGTGGATTCAAACTGCGTTCCTTTGAGTTGGTATCATGGCTGTGCCACTTGGCCCCCAGACCTCTCTGCCTTTTCAGTGTGTGGCTACAAAACAAAGGCTGACTGCAGGTTTTGCTTTTTGCTTTTTTTTGTAAGTGCAGAAATCCTCTTTGGACTTGTTTTGGTTAAGTGGAAACAGGTTCTAATAATGCACTTCTTTATTTTTAAATTAATTTTAATAAAAGTTTTCAGAGACTTAGGGTTTCCAGTCATTCATTGTTGCACTTTTCTCCCTACCCACCCCTTCCCCTCTATTCACTCTTCTCCTTGAAAAGAAAAAGAAAAACTCTTTCCTTCCCCCAAGTCCTCTCCATTATGCAGCCTTCACTCTGGACTTCTGTAATGACAAGAATACCCATTCATATATCCCTTTTAAACAGTTCTCTCCCTCATCTGTTTCAATGACATATACATCTTCTCTCAACCCTGATGTCAGTCCCGTTTTACAACAGTGGCCCTATGCAATATTTGTCCTTTTGTGACAGATATTTCACTCAGCATAGTGTCCTCCAGGGTCATCCATTTTGCATAATATTTCATGAGTTCCTTGTTTTTCAATGCTGCATAGTATTCCACTGTGTGAATATCCATTCGTTTGTTGATGGGCACTTGGGTTGTTTCCAGCTCTTTGCTATTGTGAAGAAAGCCGAAGTAAACATGGGTGTGCATGCACTTCTTTTTTTTTTAAAGAAATGGAAATAGTGGGCAGCCAATTGTTTTTAAATAGGGGATAACCTGTACATGCTAGTCTTTTCTAGAGATGAACATTGTCTCATGTCATTCTAATAGAAACTGGTGGTGATAAAAATCCTATATATTGTTGTTATTATGTACCATCGAGTCTCATGTGTTCATTGTGACAACGGCTCTGAACCCTGCTCTATCCTGAGCCAACCTAACCGTATCTGCCACACCTACCCGCACTGCCCCAGTCACTGAGTCCATCTCATCGAGGGTCTTCCTCTCTTGCACTGTCCCTCCACCCTCCCAAGCATGTTGTCCCTCTTTAATGACTGGTCCTTACTTGCAACATTCCCAAAGTATGTCAGACGAAGCCTCAGAATCCTTGCCTCCAAGGAGCTGCCTGGTCTCACCCTCTCCAGGACGAACCTGTTTGTTCTCCTAGTAGTCAGTGGTATAGTCTATACTCTTCTCAAGCACCACAGCTCAAAGGCTATATAAATTTCTTTTTTAAAAAAATTTTTTTTTATTATTTTTTTTGTGTGTACCATCAAATCAGTTCTGACAGGTACAGGAGGAGATTGTTCCTCCTTCTCCAGCAGAGCATCTGGTGGATTCAAACCGTGCACCTCTGAGATTGCAGTGCAGCTTCTTGCCACTAGGCCACCAGACCTCGTTGCTATATAAATTTTTTTTATTTTATTACTTTTCTGTGCATGTACCGTCAAATCAGATCTGACTGGTACAGGAGGAGATTGTCCCTCCTTCGCCGGCAGAGCATCTGGTGGATTTGAACCGTGTGCCTCTGGGATTGTAGTTGCAGCTCCTTACCACTAGGCCATATAAATTTCTTAAAAATGTCTTGTGGGTTTTGGATTTTTTTTTTACTGTGAAGGTTTACATAGCATGTAGGTTCCCATTCAACAGTTCTGCACAAGCTCCCTGACATTGCTTTTGCTCTTCACAATGTATGAACACTCCCAGTGTTTTGCACACCTACCCCCCAGTTCTGGTGTTTATTCTTTTGCTCCTCAGCTTTTTAGACTTGGTGTTTTCCTAACTCATTTGTCTAGAGGGAGCCCTGGTGGCACCGTGATTAAGAGCTCAGCTGCTCCCGTGCAGTGAGCTAGGGTCGATTGCTGCAGCCTCATGGCTTCCTCTGGACTTTGCTTGTGGATGCAGATGCTCCAGGTTGCCAAGTGGAACAGAGGGCTCTTCAGCCAAAAGAGCATGCTGGTTCCCCTAAGAATACTGGTTTGATAGGGATGAGCAGAAATCAGCAGAAATTGGTTATGTAAAAGGGGGATGTTAGTGCAGGAGGCATGAAGTAGCTGGCTTACGCTCTTTCATGAATGTCATTTTTAGTAAGATGATTGATTGTAAAGGGGGGAACTATATGAACGAAATATAATGTAAACGCAAAATTGTCTAAACACAATGTACGTGCATGAAACACACCCTCACGCCCACAAAAGAGCTCAGCTGCCAAGTAGCAGGTCAAAGGTTTGAACCCCGCCCCCCACCTGCTCCAAGGAAGAAAGGCGAGCCTTGGTGCTTCTGTAAAGACTGGGAAACCTTTGAGGCAGTTCGGCGGTGTCCCGTTGGGTCACAGTGCGTTGGAATCAAGCCCACAGCTGTGATTTGGGCGTGGTTTTTATGGTACCTTCATGGGGTTTGAATGAGCCTTTAATGCATTAATGTGTGTGGAGCTGTAAGTGCCTGGTGCAGGGTAAACTTCATGACGAACTGCTACAATTTAAGTGCCTTTTCATGTCTGTAGTGAATTCATGGCACAGTGAATTTGAGTTAGGCTGTTAACCAAAAGAGCAGTGATTTGAATTTACCAGCTGTCCTGAGGTAGAAAGACATTCAACTTCTAGAAGGATTTATGGCATCCCCAAGGGGCAGTTCTAATTTGTCCTGTAAGATTAGTATAAGTTGGAATTGAAGAGTCATCAGCGGTTTTTGTCCCCATTTCCCCCCAGTGTCTCTGGATGCTGCTAGTTATTTCCAGTTGGGTATCGTTGGGGACAGAGCTGCAGTAAAACCCTTAGCCAAGTACCAATAGCCTTGTACAGAGCGCCTTGTGGGAGAGACTCCCAGAAGTAGAATTCCTGAGTCAAAGAAGGACACTTTCCAAAAAAATTAGGCAGATCCTTCACAATCACCCTCCAGAGTCTGAGCAGCCAGTATCTTAGCAGATGATTTGCCTGGTAAAGAGCAAAGGAGCTGTCCTTCCACACGCCATGCACGTTGGGCTCCTCTTCTGCGCCGTGACTGAAAATGGAACGGGTCCTAACTCAAAGTCGTCCTTTTCTTCTCTGTTTTACAGAATCTGGCCGCTTATAAGGGACCAAAATGACTGACTCAAAATATTTTACCACCACCAAGAAAGGTACCGCTGTTCACCTCCTTGCGGGAGAGTGTGTGTGTGTGTGTCCTGGCCTGATCTTTCCCTGCCTGCTCCTTCTCTGCGTACCCCTGTGTGTGGGATCGGGGTGGGGATGGAGGCGTGAAAGTGGGTGATGGGAACACTCCAGAGCTTCTTTACTGTGTAGATCGGGAAAACTGAGTTCTTTGTAACATGAGGAATCTCTTAGGAGCTCTGGTAACGTACACATTGAGCTGCTAACTGAAATGTCAGCAGTTCAAGTCCACCAGTGAACTAACTCCGAGGGAGGAAGAGGAGTAACCCCCTCTGATAAAGACTGATAGAGAAGGAAACCCAGTGGTGGGTCACAGCCTTGGCAGCCACTTGAAGGTGGTAGATCTCCCTCCTTGGAACTCATGCCCTTCGCTTTTCCCTCCACGGCTTTAAATCGTTAACAGGGTGTGAGTGTTTTCTGGGGTAAAGAGGCCACATATAATCCTATCAGCAGCCCTCCAGTAATTGGGGGGTGTGTTCTCAGTCCTTATCCAGGGAGCACATGTTGGACACGTTTACAGTCACCATTTCTATCCTGTTTTTCATTTGCCATTATCACAAGCATTTCCTGACAGTTGTAACGACTTAAGGTTAGCCCGAGTTACTAAACTGAAATTTGCTAAGCTAGTCTTATGCTGTTGGGTGTTTTTTGGGCTTTTCCATTTATAGGGAAATGGAGGCTATTGTAATATCTGACAAATGTGCTTACACTTAAGATGTGTAAACATCTTTCTGACCAGCCCTTCCTTCCTCCTGCCTTCCTTCTAAGTGAGAGATTGATAGCGTGCCTGCTGACCAAGTCAAGAGCCCCTTGTTAGATTATCAGAGCCAGGAGCTCTTGTGTTATTTTTAAGCTCATTGTTATAGGTATTTTTTGAGTATTTGTTAAGTGATTATGAAACTTCAGCTGTTTACAAGGGAAAAGGCAGGCAGTCTCTGACCTGGATGTTGGAAGCTGTGATGAGGAAGTGCAGGGAGTTGTGTAGGGTTGGAGGTTAGGGAGCCTGGCAACTTAAAGGGGGCTGGGCATAAATAAGGAACAAGGAGCAAATTTGAGTGCCCTGTCTGCGACGCTTTCAGGGACAGAAAAGCCAGCAGGAAGGTGTGAGAAAGGAGAGGACTGAAAGAAGACATTACATTTTACAGACCAGAGGAGTGGACCGAATGCTGAGTGTGCTGGGGCATTGATGGTAGATTTTTGTGAAGTCTGTGTGTGGTGCTGGAGAAGAGTGTTGAATGGTCCATGGACTGCAAAGAGAACAAACAGTTTGTCCTGGAGAGGGTGGGACCAAGTTTCTCCTTAGAGGCATGGATTTTGAAGCCCCATCTCACATACTTTGGGCATGTTGCCAGGAAGGACCAGCCCTTGGAGAAGGACATCATGCTTGGAAGGGTGGAGGGACAGCACAGGAGAGAGGAAGACAGGGTGAGATGGATTGACACACAGTAACTGAGATGTGGGCATAGGTTGTTGGAGACTGGCTCAGGATAGGCAGGGTTCAGAGCTGTTGTGCATAGTGTCGCTATGAGTCACAGGAGACTGGACAGCACATAATAACAACAACAACATGGGGGCACAGTGGATAAAGCATCTGACTGCTAACTGAAAAGTTGGCAGTGTAAACCCGCTAGCCACCCTGCAGGAGAAAGAATAATCTATCTTTTTCAGTAAAGGTTTACAGCCTTTGAAAACCCCGAAAGCTAACTCTCCCACAGCCTAGAAGGTCTCTGGGACTCAAAATCAACTCAGTTGCAGTGAACATAGTTTTGATTTATGTTACAGGAAAGGAGCCTTGGTGGCCCAGTGGTTAAGAGCTTGCCTGCTGACTGAAAGTTCAGTGGTTCAAATCCATGGGAGAAAGATGTGGCGGTCTGTTTGCATAAAGGTTACAGCCTTGGAAGCTGTGAGAGACAGATCTCCTTTGTCTCTCGAGGGTCTATGTGAGCCAGGATTGGTTCATGGGCAATAGGTTTGCTTGTTTTTCTTTTATTATTTTTCAGCAAATGGAGGGGAATCAAGAGATTGATCCAGGTTTTATCCTGAATCTGACTTCAGTGTTGGTTTTAAGTGAGAGAAGAGCCAAGATGGACCCTCATAATGGTTGTGAAACTGGAGAGAGGCATGCAAACCAGTACCCCAGCTCAGGATAATTCAGTGTCCAAACTCAGGGGGCAGCACAAGGGGTGATGAGAATTAGAGGCCCTGAGAGAGACTTGGGAGGCAGGACTGGTGCCAGATTGCATTTGGAGGTCCTTAGAAGAAGGGGCATACCCCATAGACCTTTCATTGATGGATCTGCGTCTGCCAAACACTTTGAGCAGAGCAAGGTAGCCCTGCACTGGGGTCAAGGTTTTCACAGCTTGTTACATCCCAGACATGAGGCCCTCTTTGTCTTGGGCCCTCTCAGCCCCACAGGGCCATGAATGAGCCACATGGTCTGTGTATTACTCTAGGTATCCTGGTGCTGACTGTGTAGAGTGTGATTTTAATTGTTTACAGTCTCTGTCTCACATTCTTACTGAACCCCAAATTGTTCAGCTCAGTCATGGTAAAAAAATAATATTGGGGTGCTTTTTCCCCCCTCACTATAAATCCACCCAGAACCTCCTTAGCGCCTTTCCCGCTGTGATCCCCCCTGGGCCACCCTGACCCTAAGTAACTCAAGAGGAATGCCTAGAGCTCTCATCCCACAAAAAAGCAAGCGAGGCAGAGGGTATGATGAGTGAGTCATCAGCGTGGCCACCGTCAGCGCAGGCCCACTGAATGCCGGCCACCGCAGCGAGGGTTTCCCTTGTGAGACTTAAATGAGGTCATTTAGTCCGTGTAGAGGCAGAGTCCAGACCAGAAAGAAAATGGACAGAGAAGCAAAATGATTTGTCCTGGGAACGTGCAGTGATTTAGAATGCTGGCTTTGGAACTGGCCAAGCTGGGTTTGAATACTGCCTCTCCCCCCAGGAGCTGTACGGTGTCGTCACCCAGTTAGTCCATCTCGGAAAGCCTCCTTTTGCCCATCTGTAATCCGGGCACGCAAAGCCGTGAGGGTGAACTGATAACAGGGAGCAGCTGGCTGCTGCTACCTGGAGACCCGGGGGCCCAGCTCTGCACACACCCATGAGGGGGTCCTGAGCAAGTCCACTTCCTCCTTGACTTTTTTCCAGATCACCAAGTCCTTAACAATTTATCACGTCTTGAGAACAGCTTATCTCGTGAGAGCCCTCACGAGGTGAGGCGGATGGCTTCAGAGCCTGAGCCACCTCCTGTGCCTGAGGAAGTGAAACCCTGAGCCAGCAGTTCTGAGGAGATATTCTAGGAAAACAGGAAGCGCCCCATGTGGGGCTCTGTCAGATCCACCCTCACATTGAAGATCCTAGATTCTGTCACGCTCTGCATCAAGGGCCTTCAGGGACAAGTAGCTGAGGAGAACTTGGTGTCCTCTCAGCATTTTTTGCAGTCCACCCGATGAGACCTGCGTTTGCACTTTTGTTCCCTGCAGAGCCAATTTCCTCTTGGAGTTGCTCAGTCCTGTGTGACGCTGTGATGATTCCTTTCCTCACAGCCTTTGTGGTCCCTTCACAGCTCTGTCCCACCTGAGATGAGGGACTAGCGCCGCCCTCTGCACAGTGTCTTACCTGGTTCCTTCCAGCACCCTCAGAAGCTGGGGAGATGGGGGTGGATTGCTCTTGACTGCCTTCTTTCCTTAGGCGAGATCTTCGAGCTGAAGGCCGAGCTCAACAGTGACAAGAAAGAGAAGAAGAAGGAGGCAGTAAAGAAAGTGATTGCGTCGATGACCGTGGGCAAAGATGTCAGGTGTGCAGGGCTGGGCGGATGGCAGCTGGAGGCCGGCTGACGGAGGGATGGTTGTAACTCGGGTTCAGTACTTGTCACCACTCCTTGACTTCCTCTCCATACAGCAAGTTTTGTTTCCGTGAAGGTCACAAGCTCAAATGCTGATAGGGTCAGACAGTAACGGGAACGGGTAGGATAGACTAGGTCCCGGGGCAGCTAGCAGCGGGTGGGGCATGAATTTGTCAGAAATGCTGGAGGATTACGAGATACCACACCCCCCCTAGCCCCCCATGCACACCCCGGGGCAAATGGACCCAGTGTGTCTCAGTCTGGTGTTTAAAAAGAACATAAACTCTGGCTTCTTACATTTTTAAGCTCTTAAAATGTTAGACACTTTCAAACAAAGAGGGGGCTCTGGTAGCCTAGTGGCAAGAAGCTGCACTGCAAAATCGAAAGCACGCAGTTTGAGACCACCAGCTGGTCTGCAGGAGAAGGATGAGCAGTCTCCTCCCATGCGATTTACTGCCTCTGAAAACCCACCAGAGGGTCAGCTCTGGGCCAGTTCCAACTCTGCAGTACACAACAAGAAGAACGTCATCAGAGGCAGTCTTAGAGGTGACTCGCTGTCTCCCGGATCTGTGTAGTAAAGTGCATTTATGGAAAAAAAAAAAAGAAGAACATCATCAAAGAAAGATGCAAACAAACACTGCGAGGCCCAAGTAAAACACATTGCAGATTGTTCTGGTTGACTGACTCCAGTTTGTCATCTCTGCTTTGCACCACACTGTGGGAACAGGCAGATCGTGTATAGAAACAGAGCTGCCTCTTTGCTCAGACATTCCCTGTTTATCCAGCTCATTTCCCTGTCTTTTAAAATCCAGTCAAAGTCTACTTTCTCCTGTAACCTTCCCTGTCACCTGCCCACAGGTAGCTCTTCCTGCTCTTGGCTCTCAGCACTTGTTTATGTCACCCCGCACTAATTCTACAGTGACTACACCATGTTGTTAAGTGCCATCAAGTTGCCCGTTACTCGTAGCAACCCTGTGCACAGTAGCTCTAAACCCTGCCCTAGTCTCACCTTCTCCAACACACCTACCCCCGTAACCCCAGTTACTGTGTCAGTCCATCTCATGCAGGGTCTTCCTCTCTCGCACTGTTCCTCCACCTTTCCAAGCATGATGTCCTCCTCCAAGGACTAATCCCTCCTGGCAACATGCCTGAAGTATGTGAGACAGAACTTCTAAATCTTTGCCCAAAATGAGCAACTTGTTTTCACTTTCTCTAGGAAAGACCTGTTTGTTCTCTTGGCAGTCCACGGTGTATTCAATACTCTAATCTGCACTATAACTCAAAGGCATCGATTCTTCTTCTGTCATCCTTAGTCATTGTCCAGCTATCTGATGTATAGCAAGTAATAGCCTGGATCAGGTGCACCCTAGTCTCTAGACTGACATCGTCAGCAGTCTGAAGAGGTCCCTGACTGCAGATTTACCAAATGCAATTCCTCTTTTGATTTCCTGAGTACTGGTGCCAAAAGTGTTGATTGCGGAGCTGAGCAAGCTCTAATTTTTAACAACCTCAATCTCTTCTCCATCTAACGTGGTGCTGCCAATTGGCCCAGTGGTGAGAATCTTTGTCTTCTTGATGTTGAGCTTCAGTCCATATTGAAGATGGCAGTCCTTGACCTTCTACAACGTACGCTTCAGGTCCTTCTCAGTTTCAGTGAGCAGGGTTGTGTCACCTGCGTAGCACAGGCTGATGACTGACTACACCATATGAGAAAATGAAACGTGTGAGAGCCGGAGAGACTGCTGCCTTTCTCCCAGTCTCGCAGGTTCCCCATTGTTAACAAGGTGCAGTCCCACCACTCAGTGGAAAATACTTACATCTTCCTTTTCTGACTGGTCTCCACCTTACAGAGTCCAGCTTTCACAGGCTTTGCTCTTACCTTCTCACAAGTGTTTGTATTTACCTGCTCACCAGATCATGAAGTCCCTAAAGGGAGAGGCTAGATTTGATGATAATGTTTGCGGTATTTGAGAACTGGCAGAATCTTTGGGTACATGTCCTCTGTAGTTCCTTTTGATTCTCTTATTGAATGTATAATATTTTTACCACCAAAGGAACAAGCCAAAGAAGAGGTGAAATGCTTGTCCAGAGATCATGTGGTTATTGCCAAAATGAGGACATCTGAAGTCCAGGCCCAGGGTTTTCCATGCCCTCTCCCTTGCTCCCTATGTTGCCCTGGGCCTCAGAGGCTTGGGGTTTGACATGGTGCGGCCTCCCATCTGGGTCCTGCCCACAGTTACTCTAATCCCACCCAGTTCTCTGTGGATATCCCACCCTCAGCACAGGGGTATCCTGGCAAGACAAGAAACAAAGCTTTGCCGAGACACCCGCTACAGACAGAGCAATGAGGGGATCGGGCCTCTCCTGGAGAACTGGGCCTGCGTCCAGATCAGATCACTCTGAGGTTGAAGCTATGCTCCTTCTAGAACTCTGGTGTCACCTCCTCACAGGAAGCATCTTTGTCCTTCCGTCTCAAGTGAACTTGTTGATGTGTCGGGCACAGGAGAGCAAGTCGGGCTCCTCAGCAGTTCCCCCTTCTCCCCCCTCACTGCCCTTGCTTCCTGGTGCACCATCTCCCATTGTTTCGGCTTCAGCTCTAACTCCTGCCTGTTGTCCCTCGTGACCATGGTGATCCTGCTCAGAAAGTTCACCATGACCTTTTAAGTGGCCATACCCCTGCCCATCAAAGCCTGAGGATTAAGACAGGAGGGGTTGCTTCCAGAGATCGAAAATGCCTCTCCATCCATGTTTGACTTCTCGACAGGGCCTGTGACTTCAGGACCATCGAGTGCCATGTTGCGAAGGGTTCCACCCAGCATAACAGCACAGGTGTTAGACCTGGCTCCTCAGTCAGGTTATGTAATGTTTATGAGCTTCAGCGTTTCCTTCTGTAGCACAGACCTAATGACTTGGCCCCTCAAGGCTATTAAATGAGTTCAAGTATGCAGAACTCTTTACCTGAAGCCTCGTCTATAATGGTTTCTCTACACATGCGGGTGCTGGGTCAGAGTGGGTGCCGGCACCAGACCTTGGGAGGGAAGTAGAGCAGACCCATCCCTCAACCTCCAGAGTGACATGAGATACCAAGGAGAAGTTTCCACTTACCCGGCACCTCCCATGCATAGAGACCAGACAGCTTACATGGTCTCATTGCATTATCCCAAGGGCCTGGGGAAGGGTTATTGTGCAACCCTCTTACAAATGAGGAAGCAGGTGTGGGATGAGGGAATTCTCCCAGCACCATATAGATGGCAAGGGGTAGAGGCTGGAGCCAGGCCTGGCAACCCCCAGAGTTCATGTGCAAAAAAAGCACGGGAACGTGTTTTTAGAATCGCCTCATTGGAATGTCATTCCCGTCTGGAGGTGTGTGTAGTAACGGCATGGCTGGTAGCCTCCTTTTTTACTAGAAATTCCTGCTTATTGTTTTCCTTCCTTCCTTAGCTATTGTTTCCCACTCTCACAAAGCTGGCTTCTGGAAAAAATGTCTCCCTCCCTTTCTTCAGCCTGCCCTCCCCGCTGATAGCACTCTGACCTTTCAGTGCCCTCTTCCCCGACGTGGTGAACTGCATGCAGACTGACAACCTGGAGCTGAAGAAACTGGTGTACCTGTACTTGATGAACTATGCCAAGAGTCAGCCTGACATGGCCATTATGGCCGTCAACACCTTTGTGAAGGTGAGGGGGCGTTTGGTGGGAGGGGGCTGCTTCACCGTCTCCTGTGGGTGGGAAGCTGTGCCCTTGGTAAAAGCTTTCAGACGCCCTTAGACCACCTCCCTGTACTCTGCCAGGGACTCCATCTTCCCGCGCTGGGCCCCCGCTCTCTCCAGAAAATCATGTGCTCCCTGTGTGAGGCCACGCCATGCCTCACATTGCTGGCGTGAGCCTTTGCCCTGAGTCCTTTGTGTTTCCCTTCTGGACTTTGCTCCTTTTCACTCCTTCAGTCTGAAGAGCTTCAATCATTAGCCCCGGCGCCCCTAGGCCCCTGGGTCCATCAGCCGTGCTGGTGCTCAGAGATGGGAGCATGAGGGCTTCTCCGGCCAAGGGGAAGGTTGCAGGTTGTGGTGCAGGACAAGTGCATGTTTGAATAACAGTTTTCCTCTGTAAATTTAATTTGGACACACTCCTGACTATCCTAGAGCCCCAGCTTGCTCATTAGGACAACAGGGCCGATACTGTGTGTCTACTCTAAGGGTTTACTTGGAGACAAAGATGATGAAGCTTCATCCCACATACTCTGGGTATGTTGCTAATAGAGGTTATTCCTTGAAGAGGGACATCATGCTTATAAAGGTGGAGGGATGATGAGAGAGGAAGACCCTCACCCAGGTGGATTGACACAGAGACTCCAGCAATGGGCTTGAGTGTGTCAGGGCTTGTGAGGATGGCACAGGATAGGGCAGGGTGCAGATTTGTTATTCATACGGTTACTATGAGTTGTACCCGACGTCATCTAACAACTGTAAGGGTTAAAGGGGGGAATGGACAAGGCCCTTGGCACCATATCTAGCAAATACTCAGTGCCCATTACGTGGCATTTACTTTTCATACTGTTACTGAAGTTGAGGTACATTCCCCAGCAGCTGTCTGATACTGTTTAACCCATCTGGGCTCAGCCACTCACACGAGCAGGCCAGGGACACTCTCAAAGCCACATGTGGCTCATCCTGCCCTCAGGACTGTGAAGACCCCAACCCCCTGATCCGAGCCCTGGCCGTAAGGACCATGGGCTGCATCCGCGTGGACAAGATCACCGAGTACCTGTGCGAGCCGCTCCGGAAGTGCCTGAAGGATGAGGATCCGTACGTGCGCAAGACAGCCGCTGTGTGTGTAGCCAAGCTCCACGATATTAACGCCCAGCTAGTGGAGGACCAGGGCTTCCTGGACACCCTCAAAGACCTCATCTCTGACTCCAACCCCATGGTAAGCCTCGGCCACCCCCCTCAGCTACCTCTGATATCCCCTTGATCTCCTTGGGAGACTTGGGCTGCTTGACCTTTCACTGGGCAGCTCTCCAGTCCCAGGAAGTCAGAACCCCTCTGGGTGGGTTCAGTGTGCTCATGCCTTGCAGTAGAATGGCCCTGACCTGGATTCCCTTCTTTGTACCATCTCTAACTCACTGCGTGACCTTGGACTAGCTGCTTGACCTTTCAGAACCCTCTTTTCTCTGTCAGTAAGTTGGCTCTCCTTCTGGGTGACAGCCAGGATTGCTGTGAGGCTTAGAGAGGTAAAAGATCTTACGTGGCCTGCCCCATAGTCGATATGCAGTCAAGACTAGTGCCCTCCTCCTTCCCCTTGCAGTCACGGTCATTATCATCACTGTCTGGACAGTCCACTCTTGGTGGGAGGTGCTTTTTCCTTTGTCTATAACTTGCAGGGAGCACTGGGAGCCTAGTAGTAAGAAGCTGTTTTGTAATCCCAAAGGCACATGGTTCAATTCCACCAGCTGCTCCACGGGACTCCTGTGTGACTAACCCTCTGAAAACCCACTGAAGGGTCAGCTTTGAGTCGGTTCTGACTCCACAGCAGACAACGTCAACAGCATATTTTTCAAGGTTGTTAAAGATGACCAGCTTTGAAGTAGACAAGGCCACAGGATATGCCTGGGTGGATATATCAGTGTCCTCGCCCACAGCAGCAGTGTTGTTCTAGAAGGCAGTTTAGCAGCACCTGTTAAAAATGAAATGTCCCAGCCCCTTGACCCAGCCAGTCTCCACATGTATCCTGTAGACCTGCCAATGAGTGGCCAGGGCAGACAAGGGCAGCGCTTTGTCATAGAGAAAAGAGGAAACAACATAGAACAGCAAAGCTACCACTCTGGTGAAGATGAGTTGAGGGCCCAGCGCTTCTCCTGGCCAATCCCTTTGCTCTGGCCCCGCTCCAATTGCATCAGCCCTGAGAGGGTGTGAGAAGCATGTATTGACAGGCATGGAAATGAGCTGTTGGGTCAGGTAGATGGACAGTGTCTGCTGTGTTAGGTAACTGAAAATGCTTTCCCATGCTGGCATTGGAAGCTTGATCTTGCCTGATTTTATTCTGGTTCTTTTTTCTTAAATAGTAGGGGCCATTATTTTAGTCCCAGTTTACTGAGGAGCTACAGGGTGAGGACTAGCTAGGAGTAGGCCTCTAGGAGGCTCCAGGCCCTGCCCACCGGTCATGTTCCCTTCCAGATCTGTGCCTTCTGCCTGGTGAGCTTTAGCCCCGTGCTCCAGCCTCCGCCCCTTCCTCCCTCTCACCCAGGTGGTGGCAAACGCAGTAGCTGCCCTGTCAGAGATCGCGGAGTCTCACCCCAGCAGCAACCTGCTCGACCTGAACCCACAGTCCATCAACAAGCTACTGACGGCCCTGAACGAGTGCACTGAGTGGGGCCAGATCTTCATCCTGGACTGCCTGGCCAACTACACGCCCAAGGATGACCGAGAGGCGCAGAGGTGAGCAGACGGCCCCTGGCTCCCAGTCCAGCTTGTGACTTAGTCCTCAGGGGACACCGTAGCTAGACCTCTGGCCTATACCATCCTCAAGAACTTGTCAAGGGAGCCCCGTAGCTTCTCGGCTCTCCAGGGCCACATCATCTGAATCATGCATGTTGCTTCACCAGACAGCTTGCTGCATGCAGCGAGTGCTTACATTAGCCGGGGCTTCTGCAGCTCTTAGAGACCTCAGTCCCTGCAAGCTGAGTAAAGACTAGAAGCATCAAAGCCACTCTTTGTTTACCTGTTCCTGAGAAGTCAACCTCAGGTGATACTAGATATTTCCCAAGCATTAGATAATCCTTAAAGCAACTTTGTCATAGAGGTTCCACCATTGTGGCTCGTTGGAGAGAGAAAAATGCTCCCAGCTTCAAGAGGCAGAGGGAGTTGTGCAGGGTCACCAGCTAGGACTTGAATGGCTGTTGCTCTTAACTAAGCGGTTAACCTGGTGCCTTTGAACATCCTAGCAATGAGGGGGAGGAGAAGTTGATATTCATAGAGGGTTCACTACATGCCAGGCCCTTTGCAGGGTGCTTGCTTTGCTTTTCATGGTGACCTCCATGTACTACAGAGTAGAAACTGCTCCATAGAATTTTCTTTCCTTCCAGTATGATGTTGTTATTGAGAATATATACAACAAAACATGTACTAGTTCACCAGTTTCTACATATAGAATTCAGTGACCTTGATCACATTCTTTTTTTTAAAAAAAAAATTATTATTTTTGTGTGTGTGAACGTCAAATCGGATCTGACTGGTACAGAAGGAGATTGTCCCTCCTTCTCCAGCAGAGCATCTGGTGGATTCGAACCATGCTTCTCTGGGATTGCAGTGCAGCTTCTTGCCCCTAGACCACCAGAGCTCGCCCTTGATCACATTCTTAAGTTGTAGAACCTCTTTTACTGAGTTGTTGCTCCCCCATAAACATAAACTCACAGCCCTCTACGGTTCTTAACTAAGCTTTCCAGTTGCTGTTGTCATTTTGATCCCTGATAGATAGTCCTTAAGAGAACACAATGAGGGAGCTCTGTTGGCCTAGTGGCAAGAAGCTACACTGCAATCCCAGAGATACATGGTTCAAATCCACCAGAAGCTCTACCGGAGAAGGAGGGGCAATCTCCTCCTGTACGAGTCAGATCCAATTTGACGGTACACACAAAAAAATTAATAAAATAAAAAAAAATTTAAAAAAAAGAAGAACACAATGGTTTTTTGTTTACATTAGCAAAGAGATAGAAACAACCAGGTGTCCTTCAATGGCAGAACGGACCAAGAAGCTGTGGTGGTCCATTCACACAGTGGAGTGCTGTGCAACAGTAAAGAATTTCTAAAACCCTGTACCACATGAATGAATCTAGAAGACATTATACTGAGTAAAATAAACCACAAAAGAGCTAATACTGGTTTCAAAAGCACTACTGTAAAAATCTAAAGAAAAGATTTCTAAAGAAAAAGTCTAAAGCAAAGATAGGGAGAGAAGGCAGTGAGAATGAATGCATCGATAATAGATGCTCATTAAGATAAGTGAAGGGGGTAAAGATAGATGAAGGGAAGGGCGGTGGACAGTAAGGACATGAATGTTAGAAGACAAAATAGGGCCTTTCTACAAAAGTGCCAAAAGCAAAGAAGGAAGACCCTGCCCTTCCCAAGCCCCTGCCCTTCCCAAAACAGAAGCCAAAGCAAAAACATTAAAACACCAAGAAGGCAGTCCTTAAGGGCAGCCACAAGAAAAAAAGATCCGAACATCACCCACCTTCCAAGGCCCTGAGACTCGGAGGGCAGCCCAAACACCCCCAGAAGAGCGCCCCCAAGAAAAACAAGCTTGACCACTAGGCATCATTTGGAACCAGGATCTCAACAACTTCCTGCAGGAGACATGATATTTTGATAACTAAAAGCAGGATGTTTCCCCTTGTCTGTCTGTCTTTCCTGTTTGCCCCATTGGAATGGACCCCAGCATCTGTGAGCGAGTCACCCCCAGATTGTCCCATGCCAACTCTGCCGTGGTGCTGTCTGCTGTGAAGGTGCTGATGAAGTTTATGGAAATGTTGTCCAAGGACCTGGACTACTACGGGACCTTGCTCAAGAAGCTGGCCCCTCCACTGGTCACGCTGCTGTCAGCCGAGCCGGAGCTACAGTACGTGGCCCTGCGCAATATCAACCTCATTGTACAGAAAAGGTAAGCAGTCCTCGATAGACTACCCTCGGGGGCACAGTCTTGTGGGGGAACAGTGGCTGCTGAAACTCATCACCAGGCTGGACATGTCGAACCACAGCTTAATGCATCGGTTTTTTCACCTGGATGCTTCCCCAGGGGCATTTGGCAAGAATAGTGAAACTTTGCCTCACATACATTGAGCATGTTGTTAGGAGGGGCGAGTCCTTGGGAAGGGACAAGAGCTCAGGAAGGTGGAGGGTCAGCGGAGAAGAGCCTCAATAGAATGGATTGACAGAGGGACTGCAATGGTGGGCCCAACGATGTCAGAGATGATGAGGATGGCACAGGATAGGGCCGGGCTCAGTCGCATTATTCATAGGGTCGCTATGAGTCATAGTCGCTTCAATGGCACTTAACAGCAACAACAGAGGCTCTTTTAGTTGTCACAATTTAGGGAGAGGAGAACCTGCTGGTGTTTAATGGGTTAGAGACCAAGGATGCTCTTCAATGGTGCTGTAGTGCACAAACCATCTCCCACCACAAAGAATCTTTTTGGCCCAGAATGTCAGTGCTGAACTTGAGAAGCCCCAGCTTAATCTAAGTAGGGAGCAGGTTAGGTGAAATCTGGACTCTAGTTCTTAGCCTGGACAGCAGATGGCTTCCAAGTCCACCAAGCCCTCCTGACATGTATAAGATTCTTTTTGTGCGTGTGTATTTTCTTGAGGTAGGGTCCTGAGCTCCAGTCCAGTTCCCTGAGGCTGGAGGACTGTGGGGCCACTATGAATCCTTGGACTTTGCATCAGCCTCCTCATGGAAGGGTAGACTCGAGACAGCCCCTTTTCTCCACCCTTGAGAAGGACTGTAGCAGTAAGCCGCTGCCCCTCGGGGAAGGGACTGATTAAGTGACAGGAGGGAGGCAGGCAGAAAGGGGCAGAGCAGTACTGCTTCCAGAGGTCCCAGAACAGGACAGCTGCTCTACAATGATCTCCTCCTTTCCTCTGAAGCAGCGAGGGAGCCCTGCAGCTTGGTGGTGTGGGATTGGCCTCCTGAGCTCTGTCCCAGTCCATATGGTCAGATTCAGCAACCCTTGAGCAAACATACTTTACACCAGGCTGTTACTGAGAACAGGAACTTCTTCCAGTAATTCTCTTGGAAGATATTACATTCTCCTTGCTGTTGTCCTTCCTATCTCTCGGGGGCCTAGAGATACCAGGTGCACAGGCACATGTAGGGTGCGATGAAAATCTGGAAAGGCTTCCTAGGTGGTGGGATTAGGCTAAGGATTTGCAGTGGCAGTGCGGGGTTTACAGGTTGGTGCCCTTCCTCACTGGGCTAGTAAGCTGTGGTGACCTGAAGCTCCAGATCAGAGTGCAAGGACTTCCTGTGCTATATTTGACACAGTAAATCTCTTAAGAAGTTGCCCATGTCCCCGAGGCCCTGCCTGGTCTGACAAGTGTTTGGGCAGCTTTTGCCAGGTCCTGATTAGAGAAATTGTACCTTGCTGCTGTCCAGCTGGGGTTCTTGACTTCCCTGCAGGGCGTTCTGAAGACTCCCGGACTTACCAGGGCCTCCCCACCACTGGATCAGTAGCACTGATTTCCTAGTGTCCCTCCATGTCCCACTGTGTCTCATCCCTTCCCTACCGTCTGTACACATCCCTTCTTCTCATTCTCTTTCCTGGAAAGGAGGAAGTGTCTTCCTTATTACCATTAGCTGTGTGACCTTAGACAAACCATTCAACCTCTCTGGGCTTTTCTCAGCTAAGGTGAAGCAGCATATGGTGCCAGTTGGGCCTTTGAGGACAGGTGAAGGAGCCCTGCGGTGGTAGTGTTGCAGGAAGAGGGGACCTGAGGGAGAGAAAGAATCACCCAAACACCTCTGTTGGAAAAAGGAAGGGACTTTATTTGCCAGTGGGGCCTTGGGGGACTATTGTCCACAATGACTGAGCTCTCTAAACTGCTTTGTCCTGAGCCTTTAATAGAGAAGTTGACAGAAACAGTTGTGTTCTGCTCTTATTGGTGGTTGTAAAGCATCAGCATCAGCTTTACAGTCTCAGCAGGGTAGGGGCTTGTGAATTTGGACATGTCCTGGCTTTGCAGATAAGGGATATTCTTACAAGGCTTCTCTAGTTCAGTAGAAAAAGAAACCTCACAGAATTACAGCTTCCTGGCTTTTCCGATTAGGAGCACGTGCAGAGCCTCTCCTCTCCCTCCCTCGGAGTTCAGACATTCTGCAGAGTCACCCCTTTTCTGGGGTTCCTCCTGAGGGAGGGAGTACCTGGGTAGCAAGCACCTTCTCCGAGTCAGGTGTCATGCTGAATGCTGAGTGCATAGCTGTCCTAATGTTGTATAGGGGTCTCCAGGACCACTTCACCTTCCGAGATTCGCTCGGAGGACTCGCAGATTTAACAGATAGCTATTCTCAGAGCTGAGATGTGCACTAGTAGCACGAAAAGGGCCAAGAGGAAAATGACACAGGCAGCGTCTGGAGGAATCTGCACAAGCGTCCTGTGCGCTCTCTACCAGGACAAGCCAGAGCACTCTTCTTCCAACAGCATCACGCAGCACCACATGCGCCATGTGTCTGCTCAGGGAACCCCACTGAGACTCAGTTCTAAGGGTCTTTAGTGGGGACCAGTCACCTGGGATTTCTCCACCTGGCATGTATTCCCTCCAGAAAGCACCTGTTCAGATTAAACCAGGATCTCAGGCTCTTTTCTGTGAGTTGTTATTCCCATTTCGTAGCTGTGGGACTAGAGACCGGAGGTCAGAGCTGGGATTGAAATCAAGAGCTCTCTGATTCCCCAGCCTGTACCCTTGGTGCCTGCTGCCCCTGGAAGGGAGCTGCCTCTTGTTTGCACTTCTTTCCGTCCTGTGATCGGGTGGGACACACAGAACCTTGCTCAGACCCCTCGTGGGTCCATAGCTTTGCCTTCAGGATATCAGGCTCCACCTCAGGCCCCAGGAGAAGTGGGTTTTCCTACCGGCTTATGCCTTGCTTCTTGCTCTCTGGGCAACCCTGCCCCACCACCAGGCCTGAGATCCTGAAACATGAGATGAAGGTCTTCTTTGTGAAGTACAACGACCCCATCTACGTGAAGCTGGAGAAGTTGGACATCATGATCCGCCTGGCCTCCCAGGCCAACATCGCCCAGGTCAGCAGGGTGGTGGTGGGGGCACCGGTTTAGTGTCAAACAGGTTTACCAGCGAGACCGGCGAGAGCTGGTGTCTGACCAACTGATATCTCACGCTGATGGTTCCACCTCATAAAAAGTGCTTAGCAAACCTACAGCGTCCCTTTTCAGCAGGAAGTAGCTAAGAGAATACGCCATCCCCTTTTCCTTATGAATCAGGGTGAAGTCTCTCTCAGGGAGGAGTGATAGGGAATGGCAAAGGACACACTGACAAAGGAGATTAATCAGAACTGCGTTTGACAAGCACTGTGGCAATTGGACAATTAAAACAGACATTCGGGGGAGGGGGGAAGAAGAATGAACTGGGAAGGAGGGTGGAGAAAACAGTGCAACAATGAATGAATGAAAACCCAGAATCTCTGTAAATGTTCATTAAAACTAATACAATTTAATAATAATTTAAAAAAAGATAAGACGGAAATAACTTTTTAAAAAAAGTGCTTAGCAGGGCATGGAGCTAATAGTAATTGATGTTTTGTTACCAGAGATCTTTTCCCCTCTCTCCTATGACTTGTCCACTTGAGTACCGTTAATTAGGTGGCTACGTCAGCTAGAATAGTAATTATTCCAGCCCTGTCAGTGGAGCCTGCCCTGCTTCCCACACTGGACACCTGACTTCTCTCCCTTCCCTTGGGTCTTCCACCTCAATCAGAAGATAGAAGCCCGTCGTTCTAGGGGTCTTTGTATACCCGATGCCCACGCATGTTGTGAGAGTGGCTCTGCCAGACCTATCCCAAGCCCCCCTCTTCTCTCTCTGGACCCCAGGTCTTAGCAGAGCTGAAAGAATACGCAACAGAGGTGGACGTGGACTTTGTGCGGAAGGCTGTGCGAGCCATTGGCCGCTGTGCCATCAAGGTGGAGGTGAGGCCCTGGGACTGCCACAGCCAGGGGAGGGAGGGAGCCGAAACCTGGAGACCCAGCAAAATGTGCTGGCTTTGGGTTTGTGGACAGGCCCCGAGGCACCCATTGTTCACGTTTGGTTGGGCTCCTCCTTGCTGTGTAGTCTCCTTTCAACCAGTTGCTTCAGATTAAACGAACCCATCGTCATCACGGGCTCTTCTTTAAAGTTAGCTGAGGCAGCGGGGCGGCCACAAGCAGGTGGCGGCTCTGGCGGACTTAGCTCGCACTCCATGGGGCATTCCAGCGAGATCTCAGCCTGGTGATCATTTTGACAGGTGGCTTGAATCAACTGACCGTGTGTCCCTTTAAGTTCCCTGGAGTCCCCTCTAAACCCATTTCCCAGCATGCCATCCCTACCTACCCTCTTTATTTTTGGGAGGAAATTCCTTGAGTCCTGAGTCAAACTCTCCTTAAATCAGCCCAGTGGTGGCTAGAGGGCTCTGGGACAGCTGATCACCCCCAGGCCCTAGAGATGTTTCCCCTTGACACACGTGATGCCAGTCCTGAGAAGTCTCTTCCACTGGAACGTTAATGTAGAATGTTAGAATGAGGGTTCTCGAGCACACAGTTTCTTAGTTTTAGGGTCACAGAAGCCTATTTCGTGAAATAGGTAAAAGTGAAGGGGACCAGTCTGGTGCACAATCACTCTGCCCTTGGAGCTCCCCAGAGGATAGCTGGAAATGCTTGACCTGCAGGTTCCAAAAAGGCTGTCTCCTCTCTCTCCTCTTTAATCTAATTCTGTCTCCCCTGTGTCCCTGGAGACCCTGTCATTTAGTCCTCATCCTCCCTCCTGTTTCCTGAGGAGCATGTTCTCTGTCCCACTGTAACGGGGAAGGCAGGCCAGGAGTGACCGGGAGCCCTGGCACAGACATGGGCTGTAGAAGTCCTGTTGGAGATGGGGGCCGGGTCTCTGCCCTCGCTGCCCTTCCTCCTCTCTCCTCCCAGCAATCCGCGGAGCGCTGCGTGAGCACGCTGCTCGATCTCATCCAGACCAAGGTCAACTACGTGGTCCAGGAAGCCATCGTGGTCATCAAGGACATCTTCCGCAAGTACCCCAACAAGTGTGTGCCCTGCCCCTCACAAAGAGCGTTTAGCATTTCCCCTGAGCTACTCCCGACCACAAAGTAAGAACTGAAATGAAAGAGCTAAACCTCACCTCTCCTTACCTCACCCTCTGAGGGGTGTCTTAAGGGAGCTGCCTGGCTCTCTGGGTTCTTGCCAGGCCTTCCTGGGGGTGCCCTGGCTCCTGCATGCACAGGGCCAGCTGTGTCCTGATCTCCCAGGTACGAGAGTGTAATCGCCACGCTGTGTGAGAACCTGGACTCCCTGGACGAGCCCGAGGCCCGGGCCGCCATGATCTGGATTGTGGGCGAGTACGCGGAGCGCATCGACAACGCCGACGAGCTCCTGGAGAGCTTTCTCGAGGGCTTCCACGACGAGAGCACCCAGGTGAGCAGGCCCGCCCGGCCCAGAGCGTAGCCGGCTGAGCCACGCTGCCTGAAACCTGCCCTCCGTCAGTGCGCTGCAGGGTCATGCCGCTGCTGCGTGAGACAGAGATGTGACAGGTGCATAGGTGCAATGCAGCAGGAAGACATGGGAGGATGGTCTGCGGTGTGTGGAAGACAGGCCTGCTTTCAGCCGTAAGGTCACAGCCTGCAGAACCCCACATGGTGTTTGGCCCTGCACACTTGGGAGGAGCTTTGAGCCAAAATCAACTCTGGCAACAGACACCAGCAGAGATGATACCCCTCCTATCATGGCAGGCAGAGGTCTCTGGTCTGGTTTAAACTTTTTGTTTGTCTACATTAGCTTAATTCACAATTTTAAAGATGCATAATAAAAAATCTCCTCCCACTGATTTGTAGGTAGTGAATAATCTACCCACTGATTTCCTCAGCCACTGTCCCTCCTGCCCCCTTACCCTTAGATTGTTGTTGGTTCCTTAGGGGCACTTCCAGAAATAGTTTAGTAATACGCCAGCCTGCACGCATACATGCATGTACACAAATCTGTAGGGATTTCTCTTTACACACCACTGGTAGAATCGTAAATACAAACTGTCTGACATCTTGCCTTTTTCACTTGGAAAATACATCTGAAGGTAATCCCATTATTATGGTTCTAAAAGAACCCTTGTAATTACATAGACTTCTGAGGCCCCATGCTGCATTTAACCAGTCTCCCTGGATGGTTGAGTTTCAACTCAGTGGTACTTACCGACAGCAAGGAAGACCAGTCAGTATGACTGCTATTTTGATTTTGCCTCAACCTCTAATGGTATGGAAGAAATTGAGAATTTTTACCCACTTTTGCAATCTGAAATTGATCAAGCATGCAAAAGTTGGAAACAAAGATTGGGAGAATATAGCCTTCGTGATAGAAACAGTGGTGGGGATCACAAAATGGAATTTTGCAAGACCGAAAACTTACTCATTGCACATGTTGGGTTTATTTTTCAACAATATAAATGGAGACCAAACATATGGATCTCACCAGATGAAACACACAGACATCAGTTTAGTTAACATGTGTGGAAAGAAACAGTATATCCCATCAGAATTGGAAGACTATCTCAAGAATAGATTTAATGCACACAAATGACCAAAGAGCTCTGGTTGCCTAGTGGCAACAAGCTGCACTAAAATCCTGAAGTCACACGGTTCAAGGCCACCAGCTGCTCCTCGAGAGGATGAGCTATCCCATCCTGTGCGATTAACTGCCTCTGAAAACTCACTGGAGGGTCAGCTATAGGTCAGTTCCAACTAAACAGTATTCAACAACAACAGTGACTAAAGATCACATGAGTTGAGGAATGACATCAAGGACAAGCAGACAGGAAGAAGAAAAAGACCAAAATGGATGTCACAATAGACTCTGAAACTTTCTCTTGAATGTTGTTGTTAGGTACCATTGAATACAACTCCTAACGACCCTAAGAACAACTAATCTGAAGCCTGACCTATCCCGTGCCCTCTTCAGCATCTCTGGGAACTACAACACCTCTTGAATGTAGACTAGCTAAAACAAATGAAAGAAATGGAGACCTGAAGAGATTTTAAAGGGTAGTTCAAGAAAACAGTGTTATAATAATATGCAAACTGAAAGAACACACTCAGTATTTCTTAAGCCAAAAGAATAAGATTTTATGAGCAAGATAAGATAATTCAGATGGGATATGCTCAAGGTCATAATTTGGTTCTCATGAACTTGTTTAATTGGCTTCAGCTTGAGCTTGCATATAAGCAATTGTTCTAACAGTCAGTGCAGCAGGTCCATTCCACAGTCAGCCCCTGACTTTTTTATAACTGATGGTGTTGAACTTCTCCAGAGTCTCTTTCTATGAATGTAGTCAATTTGATCCCCTGTGTATCCATCTGGTGAGCTCTACATGTATAGTCCTTGTTTAATTTTTTTTAATGAATAATTCATTGGTGAATTGGTGATAGGAAATGCTGTCTCTCACTCTCCAGCTTACTCCCCTTTCTGTCCTCAAGGCCATATTTCTAACCACCAGTCCTTTTTTTTTTCTCAGCTGTTGTATTCTAGTCACCAATTATTATTAATATATCTTGATTGCATGTTTGAACTATCTCAAACTGCAGAAATTAGTAGAAAACCCTGATTTCTTCATCTTTGCTTTAGTGGTGTGTAAATTTCAATCGTAGTCATATTAAACAGCTCTTCTTTGTATGCATATTGATATTATCCACTGCTGACAGCATTGTAATTGAGGGTAGGGTTTTTGTTTGTTTGTTTGTTTCTTAGGTTGAATAGTAAAGGTAGATTTGTTAGCAAGTTACATCTTCAAGGGGATGGACCTCCCTTCCTGAAAGGAAACTGGGAGGAGAGGCCTCAGAGTAGATGTTGAAATGTTTTCTTGACAATGAATACAAAGCCATTCCTCTTAAATTTGTCATTTCAGTGTATGAATGTTCAGTTCAGAATAGCCAATACCAGTTCAGGTCGGCTCACCAGTACCTACCTAGGGTGTTATCTTTATGCCTTCCATCTCAGGTTTTACAACTTCAGATTTTCCTAGATTCACGCATTTGTACATTCCATGTGCTGATTATTAATGGATATTTGCAGCTGTTTCTCCTCATCTTGAATGATGTCACATCAGCAAAAAAAAGGTGCTTCAGTGGCTCGAAGCTTTACTCTATCCACATCATTAAAGTAGAAGAGGCAGGTCTTCCCCAGTGCCTTCTGACTCGAGCATGCCATCTGGCACCGTATCAGACAGTATTCCCCTGCTACTCATAAGGTTTTCCTGCCCAACTGAAGTGTCAAACACTAGTAATCAAAGACCAGGTGAAGTGTGAGATGACCTCAGGTACATCTTACACAAAGAAAGCGAAAAGTCATTAAAAAGAATAGAAATAAAAGACCAGAATGGATACAAGAACACATTGTGAAACTACATCAGTGGAAGTAGGAGCGCAGAACAGAGTTGAAAGGACGACTCGAAACTATTGTAACGAAATGTGCAAAGACTTGCCATTGAAAACCAAAAGAGAAGAATGCACTCAGCATTTCTCAAGCTGAAAGACCTGGAGAAACAATTTAGACCTCAAGTTGCAATAGTGAGAGACTATTGAATGATGCAGAGAGCATCAAAAGATATAAGGAATATACAGAATTACTGTACCGAAGAAATTGGTGGACATTTAACCGTTTCAGGATGTAGCATGTGATCAAAAATTAGTGATACTGAAGCAAGAAGTCTGGCTTCACTCGAAGTGTTGACAAAGAACAAGGTTCCAGGAGCTGATGGAAAGCCCGGTGACATGTTTTAACAAATGGATACAGCACTGGGTGTTTTCTATGCTGAGAAACTGAAAAGGCTCCTCCATGGCCAACCCACTACAAGAGGTCAGTATTCATGCCCACTCCTCAAAAAGTGATCCATCAGGATGCAGAAAGTATCAGACGATATAATTGATATCTCACACAAGTAAAATCTTGCTGAAGATGAATTTTAAACAGTTGAAGCAATACTTCAACAGGTTACTGCCAGAAAGTCAAGCTGGACTCAAAAGCAGACATGGAACCAGGGATCAGATTGTTGATGTCACATTGAACTTGGCTGAAAGCAGAGACTACCAGACAGATGTTTACCCATACAGAAAATTGTTTACCTATATTGAATGTGCAAAAGCTTTAAACGTTACATATCATAACAAAAGTAAGGAGGACTTGAAGCCTTGTTGCAGAAGACCAAGGAGTGCAGCCTTCAGTATTGACTGCATCTCAATATCAAGAAAACAAAGATCCTACCACTGGACCAATATACAGCATTATTATGGATGGAGAGGAAATTGAAACTGTCAACAGCTTCATCTTGCTTGGATCCACAATTAACACCCTTGGTACCAACAATCAGAAAATAAGGAGATGGATTGTACTGGGAAAATCTTCAGTTGGGGACTTTTCCAAATTATTGAGGAATAATGATGTCAGTTTCAGGACTAAAGGTGGGACTGACTCAAGCCATGGTCTTTCTGATCACTTGCTATGCATCTGAGAGCTGGACGATGAGTAAGGATGACAGAAAAAGAATTGACCTCTTTGAGGTGTGGTGTTGGAGAAGAGCACTAAACTCTCACGGATGGCCAAGAGAACTAACAGATATGTCTTGGAGAGGGTGCAGCCAGAGTGCTCTTTGGAGACAGAAATGATGAGACTTCGCCTCACATACTTTGGACATGTTGCTACGAGATGCTCTTCCTTGGAGAAGGACATGATGCTGGGGAGGATGGAGGGTTGGCGAAGGAGAAGAAGACCCTCAACCAGGTGGATTGACACGGTGACTGCTGCAGTGGGCTCTTGTGTGTCAGGAAGTGTGAGGATGGCGCAGGACAGAACAGCATTCAGATCTTTTGTTCGTAGGGTCGCTATGAGTCGTACTCAACAGCACCTAACAACAACAACAATTGTACTTGTTTAGAAACTACATAGACCATCAGGGCAATCATTTGACCAGAATAAGGGAATACGGCGTGGTTTAAAATCAAGAAAGGTGTGTACCACAGTTGCATTCTTCATCGTACTTACAAACAAATAAGTAAAAAAGCTGCACTAGATTAAGAAGAATGTAGCATCAGGATCTGAGAAAGATTCACAACCAGCCTGCAGTGTGCAGATGACATAGGCTTGCTTGCTGAAAGCAAAGACTTGAAGCACTTACTGATGAAGACCAGAGACTTCAACTTAAGACACAAATCCTCACCAATGAGCCAATGATCAGTGGGGAAAAGAGGAGATGATCACAGATTTCATTTTACTTGTATCTGTCAACACCCATGAAGGCAGCAGGCTGCAAATCAGAGGACTATTGCACTGGGCGAATCTCTTGCAAAAGACATTACAGTTTTAACAAAGCACGAATGTTATCTTGAGGAGTAAGGCTAAGATATTTTCATTCACCTCCCCGTTATATAATAGCTGGACCATGAATAGCAAAGCTCAGGGAAGAATGAATGCCTTGGAGTTAGGGTCTGCATGTACTGTGAACTGCCAGACAAACAGATCTGTCCCGGAAGAAGCATATCAGGATGCTCCTTGGAAGTGAAGACAGCAAGGCTCTCTCGCGTACTTTGGACATACTATCAGGAGGGACCAGGCCTTAGAGAAGGATGTCACCCTGGGTAAAGTAGGTGATGGTCAAAAAAGAGGAAGGTCCTCAGTGAGATGGTTTGGCACTGTGGTTCCTGCGGGCTGTTTCATTCTCGGTGAGCCACCATCACTCTGCGGCACCCAGCAACAAGCTAATACATTGCACCGGGCACCACAGTGTGGTGTCGGTTTATTTCTGTGGTGAGTCAAGTTGAGTTACCTTTCAAGTTGTTTTTGCTTTTCTGTGGACTGAGAACTATCCGTGAATGTGGGCCGTTAAAGCATCTGTGAGCCTACAAGGCTTAGGTGCTAACAAGGGCAGTGTCGGGGAGAGGGTTGGGAGGGGAGAAAAGTGCAACAATGAATGAATGGAAATCCAAAGTCTCTGTTAAATTTTCATTGAAATTAATAATAAATTAAAAAAAAAAAGAAAACCAACAAGGACAGTGTCATCTAGTGAATGAACAAGACCTTGGAATCAGAAATTCCAGAGTTCAAGCTCCTCCCATTTGAGCCTCGGTTTCCTGAAGTGCGAACAGGTTCTTCCAAGTGGAACAAGCCCTCAGCCTGTTGCTGTGCGGGTTAAACAGGGTGTTTCACATGTTGTCCTTAGCATGTGCCCAGCCCCCAGTAGGCACTCACTAATGGTAGGACTGGTGTTGGCTTCAGAGCAAACTGATCTAGTTGTCTCAGAAGAAGACTGGTTCCTGTAAGCTGTACTACCAGGGAGCACGTTCCCAGCCCTCCTGTGTGACGGTGTATAGATCAGGGTCATCTTGTCCCTCAGGGAGGCCACGAGTGAGGACTACAGTTCAGCAGGTCCGGGCTCTGCCCTCACAGTTTAGAAACTCCTGTGGCCAAAGCTGTTCCTTTCGTTAATCCCACAGAAAAGGGCGACCTTCTTTAGAAAAGCTAGCATTTCTGCTCCCAGAAGATGGAATCAATGCTAGGTGGGCAAAAAACAGCAGATGCCCATTACAAATAATAGTAATCAGTCCCACCAGCACTGCCTCCCACTGCCACCTGTCAGGACCAGCTGCCAGCCTGCCACCAAGCTCACTCCACCACCACCACTACCCGCTTCCTGTCTTTTTTTTTAAAATATTTTTATTTATTTTTTTATTGTATTAGTTTTAATGAACATTTACAGAGATTTTGGGGTTTCATTCATTCATTGTTGTACTGTTTTCTCTACCCTCCTCCCCAGTTCTTTCTTCTTGTTCCCCCCCCGAATGTCTGTTTTAATTGTCCAATTGCCACAGTGCTTGTCAAAGCCAGTTCTGATTAATCTTCTTTGTCAGTGTGTCCTTTGCCATTCCCTATCACTCCTCCCTGAGAGAGACTTCACCCTGATTCATAAGGAAAAGGGGATGGCGTATTCTCTTAGCTACTTCCTGCTGAAAAGGGACGCTGTGGGTTTCAGGGTGAAGATCTTCTCTCACTACTCTAAAGGGCCCCTTTTGGCAGTAGGAAACACGTAGACTATTATGGAGATTGATTTATATGTGCTGCCGAAGCGAGCACCCGCTTCCTGTCTTGTCTCTAAAAAGCAGAGCTTGTCCTTACGTAGCCTCTCCTGCTAATGGGGTTACTGCAGGGGATGCCTGTAGTGGTTTCCCAGAGTGAATCTTCTGCGGCCTTTCCCCTCAGCTAAGCCTGCCAGGGAGTCAGAGAATTGAGCTGGGGAAGCGGCTTGGTGGAGAAATGGGACTTCGCACGTTTTGAATCCAGGCTCTTCCTCGGGCTGGCTGACCCTTGGCACATTAGCAAGCTCCCCAAGCCATTTCCTCGCCTGGAGGGCAGCAGTGTTGATGACTGGGTCATGTAAGAGGATGGTTTTTAACTTAAGTAGCCTGTTCCCTTTGCCTCCATGGTTCACAAAGCATTTCAAAACTCTTTTGAGAATATTTATTTAGTGCTTTTAAGTGCTAATCCTCTTCTTCCACCTCCTCCTCTTTCTCCTCTTCTTTTCCTCCTCCCCCTCCATCCTACTCTTCCTCTCTCCTCCTTTTCCTCCTCCTCTCCTCTTCCTCTCTCCTCCTCTTCCTCCTCCTCTCTTCTTCCCCCTCCTCTCCCTCTTCCTTCTCCTCCTCTCCTCCTCCTTCTCCCTACTCCTCGTCCCCTCCTCGTTTCCTTCCTC